CGCAGGCGCCCACCCCGGCCGCCGACACCTTCCTGCAGTACCGCACCAGCAAGGTTCGCGCGCTGAGGGCCGCCCGGCTGGAGCGGCTGGTGCACGAGCTGGTGTCCGGAGACCGCGAGCAGGACCCTGGCTTCGTGCCCGCCTTCCTGGCCACCCACCGGGCCTTTGTGCCCACAGCCCGCCTTCTGGGCTTTTTGCTGCCGCCGCCGCCGCCGCCGCCGCCTCCTCCCGGGTCAGTAGAGCGCAGGTTCCATCCCCAGGACCCTATCTGCCCCGCCCCCTCCCAATCCCTCCTCAGATTTGGAACCCCAGAGCCCTGGTCCTAAAGCCCCGTGGCTCCGTTCCCATCTGATAGAGGTTTCCTTCCTAGGGTAGACAGCAAGAGGACAGAGGGACAGGATCAGAACTTCAGCAGGAACCTGAGGTTGGTTTCCACTCACCTTCCCCTCCCCCACCCCCCACGCTCTCGACCCGAGGGAGCGTGGGGGAGGGGACCTCAAGGTCAGGCTGCAAGGTTGGGAAGGTCTCGATCCTGGGACGGAGTTCTGCCTCACACACACCCTCTGTCCAGGGCTGTGGTTTCAGTACTCGGCTCTTGGCTGCGAGATCATCCTCAGGACTTCCGGGATCCCCCTGCCCATCAGAACCTGGGCAACATTCGAATCTTTCTGGGCTGGGCAGCCCCAGGAGGGGCAGAGGCCAGGGAGGCAGAGAAGCTTCTAGAAGGTTTCTTGGAGGAGGCGAAGGGAGATCAGACGGAGGAGGAGCACCGACTGGCCTGGGCAGGTAAGGGATAGTGCTACCTACCCCTCTCCAAGTGACAGGCGCTGAACACATTTTCTTTATTTGTTTCAGTGCTTGGGGATGAACTCAGACCTCTGTGCATGCTGGGCGAACGCTGTACCGCTGAGCCACACCCCCAGCCCTTGAACATTCCCTTTCTACCCTTCTGTGTGTGTGGTGGTCAGGAGTGGGGGCCGTGCCAGGTGTCTTCCTCTACTGCTGTCTAATCTTGGGAGACAAGCTCTCAGTGAACCTGGCTAGGCTCACGGGCCATTGAGCCCAAGGGTCCTCCTGTCTCTGTCCCTCCAGCGTCTGACTTGCACGCATGTGCTGTTGTGCCCGGTTGTTCGTGGGTGCTGGGGACCTGAACTCAGGTCCTCGCACTGGCACGGGCAAACATTTTGCCCACTGAGCCATTAAAAGCAAGGCTTTTTAAATAGAGGAGCCTTATCTTCTCCACCCGGTCACAAGTTTTTAGCAGAAGTATTAGCAAGTGTAGGTGTCCTCTTGCGCACAGAGAGCCTCTGTTTTCTGGCACTTAGTGGCAGAGTCCTTGCCCAGTCGAGAACAGCAACCTGGGTTCAAATCCCAGGCTTGTCATCTGCTGGTGGTGTGACCTTGGTTAGGTCTCTACACCTCCCCGAGACCAGTTCTCTTAGGTTCGATATGGGGCTGATGACATTGTCTGCCTTGTGGAGTTTTCTAACAAGTATTGAACAGCTAGCTTTGGCCTCATACAGGTTCCCACCCTCCTGGGAAGGACACCTAACAAACAGAAAATCAGTCAGCAGTAAGGGCTGTCGTGTATGCCGTGGAGTTCATGCCTCCTTTGGAGTCTGTTCCCTCCTTCTACCTTTCTGTGGGTTCTATGGTGGGATTTTTGTTTGTTTTATTTTGTGGTTTTTGTTTTGTT